GAAGAGAATTCCTATGAGCCAGTCCTCACACGGCAACCATGGTAGACAGATGCTTCAAGATAGCCCTGGTTTTAACCTAACGACATGGCCACTGCTTATGTCAGCTATTGAATTGACGAAGATATTAACATTAAGGGGGGGGGGTGGAGGGATCAGGACAGGCAAGTCAGGAAGTCAACAGTACCATCCTATGTGACAGTTCTGGGGTGGCAGGGTCAGGGGCTGCAGAGCAGCTTTTAAATGAAGCTGAGGGGGTGATGAGGGAGACAGAGACTACTTCTCTGTCATGTCCTGTGCAGCTGCTGACTTGCTCCAGGGTCCTGCTGAGCTCCAGGAAGCCCTGGACCATTTGGCTTCTGTGTGGCTCCTTTCCAGCGAGCCACACCAGGGCTAGGGTAAGGTGGGGCCGTGATGCAACCGCTTTCTACAAAATAAACATCCTATGACTTCTACGCACGCATGGGTGTCTGTTGCTTCCAAGAGATCTTTTGGACAAGCATCACTTCTCTGATGATACCAGCATTGCTCAGAGAAAGGAGGGCCTCCCTGGGAGCTGCCTTCCCTGCCTTGGGGACATCGTTCAGATTACTGGCAAAGATGGCACACTTTCAGCCTTGGAGGAAGGATTAGATTTCTGAAGACACCCAAAAACAAGTTGAGGGCAAGGCTAGCATCCTGGTGACTTTGGTCAAACATCCAGATGTGAGGAGGTTGTCATGTGACTGGTCCCCATTGCCCAGGTGTCCTGAGTTATGGTACTCTTCCAGGACAGGTACTAACTCCCAAGTCCTCATGTGGCCTAATACCATGAACCATGCTTCGTAGTCAACTCTTCCTGTGTTTCTGGAAAAAAACAGGTGAGAAAGAATATGACTACAGACATGTAAAACAGGACGTGAACTCATTTTCCAGAAAGTTCTCAGTGTCAACTATATCAGTACTGGGTAAATGGATACATATGTCCTTGTTATTTAATTCTTAATAATTTTTATGTTATTTAATTCTTTCCAGTAATGGTGAGTTCTTAAATTTGTGATCGCCTCTGGAAACCCTTTCATGTAAACAGCCATTAAGAAAGAAATATCAGGGCTGGTGGAGTGGCTCAAGTGGTAGGATACCTGCCTACCAGTGTGAGGCCCTGAGTTCAAACCCCTGTACTGCCAAAAATAAATAAATAAATAAGAAAGAAATACCATCTTCACCAGTCCTCATTTTGGGTTCAGAAGATGTAGTCATAAATTTATACAGAGCTCTGTCTGTGAAAGCCAGAGGTTCTTAGAACATCAGTGCGCACGAGCCTGAGTTTTCATTTGGCCCAACCACCCATTTATAGACAGGAAGCCTGCACCCCAAAGAGGGGAGTAAGGTCCAAGACTTCATCATGAGGGAGGTACTGAAGGTTCCTAAGAAAATCAGAGATGGTTCCAGAATATAGGTGGGATAACTAAGGACACAGCTCTTAGTAGTACATCCAGTGTAGTTTTTGATATTAACCTTCTTTACTGCTGCATCAAACACAAAACTCTCACCTCCACATCAGGGCAACTTCTAGGCATTTGGCATCACCCATTTTAAAAGTTCTATTGCTTCCCCCGCCCCGGTACTGGCACGCACTCTTCCACTGAGTGACCCCCAATCCCTGTAGCTTTTCTCTTAAGGAAACAGAGGGTGAAGCCCACTGGAAGTACACTGACGACAATAAAGTCTTGTGTTTGGCTAAGGCCAGGTTTAGTCACCAAACGCTGTCTTCTCGAATCCAGGTTAGTAGTTGAGTCTTATGACTCAGTCCCCAGACGCCTCCACACCTGTGGGGAGGGCCTCTCGAGCTGGAGCCTGCCTGCAGCCTGCCTGCAAGCCAAGCGGAGCCTGCCCCCCAGGAAGTGGCAAAGCAGTTCCTTCCCTTGCTTCTGCTCCCCACCTGGGTCAGATTGGTCATCAGGAAGGCCTGTCCTCCCACCCCCTTCCTGGAAATCGAAGCACTAGCAGGGGTTGTCGTGTTGTGTCTGGGTGGGTTGGCACCAGAGATGCATGACTGGGGTGGCTCATGTGTGGAGGACAGAGGTCACCTGGCTCCCTGATAAGCCCTTGCCTCTCCCTTCCAGTTAACGCTGTAAATCTAAAATAAAATCTTGGGCTGGCAGAGTGGCTCAAGTGGTGGGGCATGAGGCCCCAGTACCACCAAAACAAAAAAAAGGCTAATTAAGATAATTAAAGTAGAATCCCCAACATGCTACTTTCTTTCAATGACAATATGGAAGACACAGATCTCATTGTCAGGAAGGAGGTCGTGTGACACCAATAAAGTGCAGGCAGTGAGCTGGGCACTCCGGAGTAAAACATATCTTCACATACAAGTAACTCCTCTTCTCCGAATCAAAGTGCTTCAGGCTGTAATGTTCTCTGATGGGTTCTGACAGTTAATCTCATCATTGGGGGAAGAACTGAGCTTACTGAAGGTGGCAACAATGTTCCTCTCCAACCCTCTACTCACCCAGTTGCTGTTCGAGGACTCTGTAAAACTAAGGTTAACCAGGGTACCCATCCTATCTTTACGTACAGACTCTTGCTTACAGCTCTTTTCCCTGCTCTGGTCTCTACAGAAGCCACACCTGCTCCAGGAAGACTTGAATCATTCATTCCTTCATTAATGCATGTATTCATTAAATGAGTATTCAGTGACTGTGCCCCAAGCCTGGCAATGGACACCAAGGAGGTTTTTTCAACATCTCAAAAGACTTTGTGGCTGAAAAGATCCGTAGGCCATCTGAGGCCCAGAGAAGGGAGAATACGTGTGTAAAATCACGTAGCAAATTAGGGGCAGAGATGAGTTCGAGCGCTGAGCTCTTCCAAAACTCTCCTGCACTGAAAAATCAGGGCTAGATTACACTTAAAAAAAAAAAATTCCTCACCCATACCACAGTGTGGGACATTTTGTTGAAATTTTGTTTTCAAGGAAATGATTGGTGAAAATGAAAGGGGAAAAAAATTCCTTCAAGTTCAGTCCTTGCCTGGGGCGGCCCAGGATGAGCGGCACAGCCCAGTCTCAGTCATCTGCGGGCGCTCTTGTATTTGGCTTTTGCCATATAAATTCTCCTTCGACAGTTTTTGTTGTTGATACTTCCATACCTCTCTCAAAACGTGTTAACTGGAGCTACCCTGAAAGATTCTAATTATCGGTGACCTCCATCAACAGGGTAAGGAGCCATGGACGGCTTGGTGGCTGGGAACCCCATAATCTCCTTTCGCTCCATAACGCCCTATCGCTTTTAGGTAAGTCTATGGCTTAAGTGGGCGGCATATCTTCACGTGCCATCTGTCTGCCATCCAGTGAGAAGACACCTCCGTATTACACTGGTGGAGTGGCCGGCCAACATCTGCTACCCTCTGGTGACCTTTGTCATTTCCCTCCCTGTTCTGCGACTCTGCTCCCTTGATGGAGGGTGCGGAGGACTGGAATCACTGCTGGGGCACTTCCATAGGCGTGGAGGGCCCTGACAACAGGGGTCAGAGTCCACCCAGCTAGCTCCACGTGGCCAGTGTGCAGCTCACAGTTGCCGGCGCAACGGGCCTTGGCTCGCACCCGCGATTCCTTTTCTACCCAAGGACACGCGGTATTAAATGCCCAGAGGAAAAACAGTGTTAGGTGGCGCCGATGCCACAGTGCGGCTCAGACCCTGCAAATCAGCTGGCAGCCGTTGCAGCCAGCGCGCGCGCGCATGCCTCCTTCGGCCCGCGTCCAAGAGCGTCTGGGGCGCAGTGCGCGTGCGCGGAGCTGCCGCAGGGCGTGGCGGGGCGCGAGGCCGGGCGGGGGCGGAGGCCCTGGGTGCGGGCGGGCACGCGAGGGGCGGGCGGTGCTCCGCGGTACTGACGTTTACCCGCCCGCGCCCCCCCTCTCCCCGCCCCCGGCGCCCCAGGCCCGGGTTGGCAGCCGCCGAGCCCCCGCCCCTCCCCCCAGACCTCCCGGCCGGAACCGATCGCGGCTGGTTTGAGCTGGTGCGTCTCCATGACGACGCGCACGGCGTATAAGTAGCGGTGCGGCGCGCCGTCGGGCTTTGTCAGGCTCTGCTGCTGCTGCCGCCGCCGCCGCCGGCCGCCCTCAGCCAGCAGCTCGGCGCCACCTCGGGCCGGCGACTCCGGCGGGCGGGAGCGAGGCGGCTGACGGGCGCGGCGGCGGGCGGGCGGCCGAGCGCTCCTCCGGCTCCGGCTCCGGCTCCGGCTCCGGCTCCGGCTCGGGCGGCGGCATCTCCATGGGGCCGGCCCACGGCGCACGGGCGCTCTGAGGTGAGAACCGGCGGCGGGAGGGAGGCACGGCCACGTGTCCGGCAACCCTGGACCAGCCGGCGGGGGGGACACGTGGTCGCCGAGCCGGCCCGCGGACAGGTTGGGGAGTTCGCACCCCGGGACCGTGACCTTGGTGAGCCGCTTCCTCCGGGCCGGGTGTCCTGCTTGAAAACGGGGTGCTGACCGGTGGGCCGGCGACTCCGCCGCGCCTGGCCTGTCGTCCCCAGCCCGGGGACACTAGCGACAGCCACGCGGGCCCTGGACCACGTCAGCGGCGGGTTTCCGAGCCGGAAGGCCCGGCCGATCCCCCGCCCGCTATCTCGCCTGGACCCATGCGGCCGGCCGCGGCAGGTGCAGGGGAGCTCGGCCCGCGCCGCCCGCTCCCCGGCTCCCTGCGGCCCCCGGGCGCCCCTTCCTTCAGGTCGTGGTTTTGCTATGTGTGCAGAGCGGAGCTGGTGACACAGATGGGGGCCCAGTGCGAGCTGCTAGACCTAAGAGTAACTACAGTGAGAAGTAGCTGACCAGCCGTGACTGCAGAGTTTATTTAAGGACGGTTGGAATGACTTGGTGGTTTAAGAAGAGCTTGGCTCGGGCGAGCCGGCCTAACGTAGGAGCCAGCTCTGAGGTTTCCAAAAAGGCTGATGGTGGTGTTTGAGTATCCTCTGTAATTGGTGATGGGGCTGGGGGGGCCCGAGAGCCTCTCAGGAATGTCTAGGGGAAGACAAAGAATGTGTTTGCTTACCGTATTGAAACCTGAAATTGGGCAGAATTTCATTGACTTTCGGAACTCTTTAAGTCGGAATTAGCCCATCTCTCTTCGAAGGTTACCATATGCGCCAACTGAGTCATTTGTTTAAAATGACTTAGTCACGTGGAGACCAAAGGTGCTCTCAAGTAACATTTTTCAAGTGAATTATGTAAGTACAGCTTTAAAAGATACAGAAAAGCAAAATAACTAATAGTGGTGTATTTCAAAGAGAGGAAGCTTTCCAAGTGTAAGCCTGAAGGTTGCCTCAAAAATGTTAAGTCAGATCTTAGATAACTCACTCAGTTACTGGTTGAGCCTATCTCAGTTGCGAATGTCGTGTATATAGGCCAAAATGAGTTTGCTGGCTTTAGTCTCTTTCCCCTGCGGTGATCTAGGCAACTTAGCAGTGACAATGCCAAAAAGTCTCACTACATCAAGGCTTAAAGCAAGTTTTACCATGCATGGGTTTGGATTTATGGCAGGCCCGTCCCCCTGGGCCTCTCATAGTGTCCCATGCCAGAGCAAACTGTAGCTCGGAACCATTGCCTGGCCTCTGCCTGTGGGCTGCTGGCACTGAAGTGGGTTGCACAGTGGAAAAAAAGAAAGCCCTACCTGGCAGGAAGTTTTAAAGGTAAAAATCAGTAATTCTGAAAACTCATTCACCAGTGTCACATTTCATGAAGGCCAAGGATAGTGGCTTTTATTGTTATTAGCATGACATTCTTGCTTATTTTTGTTACTTGTAAAGTTAGCCAAAAATTACTCGTGTGCAGTTGTCATTCATAACTAAGCAAAGGTTTGAGGGCTTGTGAGGACAGCAGGAATTGCCAGAATTGCTAATTTGGTTAGGCAGGTCTGGTTTGCTGATTTCTGATTAGATAACAGCAACTATAATAAGATATATTGTATTGATTTGAAGGTTATAAAAAGTATATGCCCAGCTCATATTGCATGAAAATTAAGTTCATTAAATTCTTAGGGCATTTATGATCACTCAGGAAGTTGAAATGTCCTAGATACTTCGGTGATGCATCTTAGTAAAAATCATTCTACACAAGACTTAGTGAAAGTAGAAAAAGGCACGAAGTTTATATGTCTGGAGTTCAAAAACCCAGTTTTGAATCTGGTAGACACTGTGGAGGTTTATGGGATCATACACGTAGGTGTAGTTGCATTTCCCACACCATTGGTGATCTACTTACACTGCTTGTGATTCCCCAGTTATGCTGTTATAATGCCTGACCTTCTATCTACCCAAGGTAGATAGAAAATTCATCTGTTTCCACTGCTGCTCCAAGGACACTGGGTTTCGAGTTCTTGGAGAGCTGCCTTTGTGATAAACTGGAAATGATTTAATTCCAACTCTTAGTTGTCCTTGTAAGCATTCAACTTGCACTTTTGTTGCAGGTTCATCCTAAGAATCGTATTGCTAGGACTCCTGAGTAAATCTCTTCACCCTGCTTGGAGCTTGTTGCTGCGTTTCAGAGGCACATCGAGAAACCATGAGCAATTTCAGTAAGGAAGAGTTCGATTGCCGCATCCTTGATGAAGGCTTTACTGCCAAGGACATTCTGGACCAAAAAATTAATGAAGTTTCTTCTTCCGTAAGTATGTGAGGCCATGCTGGCGGCACGCTGGGAATGCCTGGCTAGTGGGACATGGTGGACAGGTCTTAGAAAGGAAACATAATGGGGCACACATGTCTCCTTAGGGGATTTAGATAATTGGCTGGGGATGGTCCAGTGACAGTGGTGACAGCGTGTCAATGACTAGTAATGGGGAGGGCTCAGTGGATGCTGTAAGACTGCTAATAAGTCACCTCTCCCCACTCTTGTTTCAGGATGATAAGGATGCCTTTTATGTCGCAGACCTCGGAGACATTCTAAAAAAACACCTAAGATGGTTAAAAGCTCTTCCTCGTGTCACCCCCTTTTATGCAGTCAAATGTAATGACAGCAGAGCTATAGTGGACACCTTAGCTGCTGTTGGGACGGGCTTTGACTGCGCTAGCAAGGTGAGCAGGAGCAGCAGGGCTTGGAATAGTTCCCTGCAGGGCGGTAAAAGCTGTGCTGCTTGGGTGATCAGTGCTAATGAGGTGAGCACAGGACAGTTTCCTGTGCTTTCTGTTTATTGTGCTTACAGCCCGATGCCACCCTTCTTTTTCAGACTGAAATACAGTTGGTGCAGAGTCTCGGGGTGCCTCCAGAGAGGATTATCTATGCAAATCCTTGTAAACAAGTGTCTCAAATTAAGTATGCTGCCAGTAATGGAGTCCAGATGATGACTTTTGATAGTGAAGTGGAGTTGATGAAAGTTGCCAGAGCACATCCAAAGGCAAAGTGAGTTACCACGCATTTGAGAGGAAGGACATTGTAAATTCTTGTCAAATAACTTAAGCTTCTGATTTGTAGTTAGGTCGTGTGTGTGTGTGTGTGTGTGTGTGTGTGTGTGTGTGTGTGTGGTGGGGCTGGGGTTTGAACTGTGTTTCACACGTGCAAGGCAGGTGCTCTGTCACTTGAGTCACAACCACCAAGTCTATTTGCTCTGGTTATTTTGTAAGTAGAGTCTTGGAAACTATTTGCCCAGACTGACCTTGAACCTTGATCCTCCCAATCTTGGCCTCCCAAGTAGCTAAGATTATAGGTGTGAGTCACTGGTGCCTGGCTGCATATCTGTACTTAAGCAGAAAAAGAAATAGGTCACACCCTCAGTTGACTAATAAAGCCATGTTAGACTTTTAAGCCAGAGTATTAGAGGCCAGTATTTAGGACAGGGTTCTCTTTTATTTTGACCGTGGTTTTCAGTGATCTGTCATGAGATGTTTGATAGATAACATTTCTTGCTTCCAGGTTGGTTTTGCGGATTGCCACTGACGATTCCAAAGCAGTCTGTCGCCTCAGTGTTAAATTTGGTGCCACACTCAAAACCAGCAGACTTCTTTTGGAGCGGGCAAAAGAGCTAAATATTGATGTCATTGGTGTCAGGTGAGGTCTTGGTGGCATAATTAGAGGTTAAGACATTGTGCAGTGGCAGTTTTTCTCATTGCTATTTTGAGAAGTGTAAAAAACAACATCTGCTTTCTTTTTATCTCAGCTTCCACGTGGGGAGCGGCTGTACCGATCCTGAAACTTTCGCGCAGGCCATCTGTGATGCCCGCTGTGTCTTTGACGTGGGGGTAAGTGCATATGACCCATTAGTGAACTGCTCAGTTCTAGAATTAGCATTTTCTGGAAGTCTGCCCCCATGACAGATTTAGACTCATCTGCTGCATACATTTTTATTTGTCCTGAACCTGGCAGTTTGACTTGTGAATTTTCTTGACTGTAGGCCGAGGTTGGTTTCAGCATGTATCTGCTTGATATTGGTGGTGGCTTTCCTGGATCTGAGGATGTGAAGCTTAAATTTGAAGAGGTAACTTTACAGTAGCTATTTTTGGAATAGTCTAGCCAGTACCAAAAGGGGCTAAATAAACATGAAAAGCAATGCCTTGGTAAAACATTTTGAGTGACTTCTGTGCTACTTAAAATGGCATTTAATGGTATTTTGTTTCCTAAGCCAAAATATGAGTCAGGTGGAGTAATCAATTACTACATTAAGAAACGCTGCTGTAGAATTAAGGAACGTGCTGACTTTAATATATGCCTTTTGCTAGATTTTGTATTTCCTCCCCATAAGTCATTTAAATGCCTAGTTCTTTAGGAAATGAAGCATTATATGGTGCTAGAGCTTAGAAGAGCCCCGTTCCTATTTGTTATGATTATGTAGGGTGGGCAGAATGGAAGAATTTTTTATCTTGGTGGCATGTCTTTGCTAAACAAAGTTATTTTGGCACCTTGACACCTAACTAGTGTATGTAGTAATTGTTTTGTACTCTTACTACTGGATAAAAGCATTCCTGTAACATCTTTAAAAGATACTTAGTCCAGAGGGGAATCAAAGTAAAGCCAGGGGATATGCAAACTGGTTTCCAGGGAGATAGTTATTTTTCTTCGGTTCCATGATGGCAGACCTCTGCTGATACATGCTTTTGTCCCATTACTCAAAGGCACTGTGATCTTTCTCTCCTCCATGTGGGTTCCCCATAATGAATGGCTACTCTCCTCTATCTCACTCTTAGATCACCGGTGTGATTAACCCGGCGCTGGACAAGTACTTTCCACCAGACTCTGGAGTGAGAATAATAGCTGAGCCAGGCAGATACTATGTTGCATCAGCCTTCACCCTTGCAGTTAATATCATTGCCAAAAAAATCGTATTGAAGGAGCAGAGCGGCTCTGATGGTATGGATGATGTTCAGGATAAGTCTGCAGAAACAACTGGAAGTTGCTTCATTAAGCAGCATTAATTAAGGTTAATGTGTTTTTCTAGATGAGGATGAGTCGAATGAGCAAACCTTTATGTATTACGTGAACGACGGAGTATATGGATCATTTAATTGCATCCTTTATGATCACGCACACGTAAAGCCCCTGCTGCAGAAGGTAACTTCTGAATATAACGATCTATAAGTCAGTGAAGGTGACTGGTCACAGGTATGATTAAATAGTAATTTCTTTACTTAGAGACCTAAGCCAGATGAGAAGTACTACTCATCCAGCATATGGGGACCGACGTGTGATGGCCTCGATCGGATCGTTGAGCGCTGTGACTTGCCTGAGATGCACGTGGGTGATTGGATGCTCTTTGAGAACATGGGCGCATATACTGTTGCTGCTGCTTCTACTTTCAATGGATTCCAGAGGCCAAGTATCTACTACGTGATGTCACGACCAATGTGGTGAGTGAGACCATGCTTGATTGTGATTCTCTCAAGCATAGACAGCTGGGCTCACCCTTGCAGCATTTGCCCAACAAGAAAATGGGCACCTTTGTGCTTGTCCTTGTCTAGCTGAGTAAGAAGTTGTTTGCCTTGAATTAAATTAAAGGAAGGAAAATTCCTGTGATAGTACTGATCTGTATTTTTTTGGGTATTTTCTAAGAAAAGTTTTAGAACTAAAAGCAATTTGGTTTCTTTGTAACTAGAATACTTAAGTTAATATGCCCTATGGTTTCCTTTGTTATCAGAAAGGCAGTTCTGAAGAAAGGTTTGCTTAATAAATACGTTGAATTTATTCCTAATGGTGGTAACCAAGGAAATATTTTGAATGATCATTCTCGGGAGACTGCCCAGTGCAGAGTGACTTGGGGTTTTGAATATGCCACTTCTTGTCTCTCAGGCAACTCATGCAGCAAGTCCAGAACCACGGCTTCCCGCCCGAAGTGGAGGAGCAGGATATCAGCCCTCTGCCCATGTCTTGCGCTCAGGAAAGCGGGATGGAGCGTCACCCAGCAGCCTGTGCTTCTGCTAGTATCAATGTGTAGATACCATTCTTGTAGCTGTTAACTGCAAGTGTAGTTTGAGTTAAGGGATTTGGGGGGACCATTTAACTTAATTACTGCTAGTTTTGAAATGTCTTTGTAAGAGTAGGGTTGGCACAGATGCAGCAATAATGGAAGGCTAGGAGATGGGGTCACACTTATCTGTGTTCCTATGGAAACTATTTGAATATTTGTTTTATATGGATTTTTATTCACTTTTCCAACATGCTACTAAAGAGTGCCTCTCAGCTGCTGAGCAAGCATTTGTAGCTTGTACAATGGCAGAATGGGCCAAAAGCTTAGTGTTGTGACCTGTTTTGAAAATAAAGTATCTTGAAATAACGAGGCATTGGGAAGTCTTTGCAATGTGTCCATTCTAGATGGTTCACAAGTCCTGTATCGTTTGCTATAGTCTCATAAGCAGTGGGTCTAACCCACACCTAGGTAGCAGGGAGGGTGGATGGGCCAGGGCATGCCCTCTGGTGTGTATAGTGAGTCTTCCCAGCTCAACCTGAGTATGTCTACAGTTAGCTGTGAACTGGAGCCCCTTGTTGAGGCTCCCTGACTGAGCTGTTGTGACCTGGCCAATGCACAGGGAAGGCATGTAAGGCCCTTTGAATCTGCAACACCATAGGTTGCAAATACCACCTTGATTTTGTTATTAAGAATATGATGCAGTGAACTTACTGTAATAAATTCAACAGCAGTTACTCAGTGTGGCAGATCTGTGCCTTTCTCTCTGACTTTCACCTGTCCTTTAAGTTCTTTACTCAGTTTGCACCCCTGTTCCCCCTCCCCAAAAGGTGACGGGTTCTTAATGCTATTTAACCTCCCCGAGGTGGAAGTTCTGAAGTCCCTGCTGTATTCTCAGGAGGGAAGGGGTTGTAAAAGTCTTGTGGCACACACCTACAGTCCTGGCACTTGAGAGGCTAAGGAGGCAGGAGGACCATGAGTTCGAGTCCAACCTGGGTTATATTGTGAGACCCTGTCTCAAACAAAGTTACATACATCCCACTAAAGCCACAAGTCTATGAACACTGTGGAGTCGTCAGCCTCACTAGAGGGACAGGAAAAGACAGACGGAATGAGAGGGAAGGCTGTGGCTCCTATCCCTGGGGAATGAGCTATCCAGTTGTCATTGGGAAGCCAGCTGGTGCAAGTGTGTTTCCTGTAGATAAAAGAGGGGCCCCTACCTTTCTCAGGGGCGACAATCCCCCAAGACCTGCTCAGCTAGACTCTTTTTGTTATCCGCCCTGGGCTCCTTTGAACCCAGGGTTGTGGCTTAGGTTTCCGAAGCATCATGGGTTGTGACTTGGGATGGCGGGAGGAAAGGCCTTAGCTGATAATCCAGCCACCTCTTGATTCTTAGAAGTAGGTAGATTATGGTGTGAGGGTGACTGAGCTCCCCAGGAGGGCAGGTCTTAACGACCTAGGGCTCTACTGTGTCAAAAATTAAAAGAAACTTGGCAGTATGCACTTCATGCCAAGAAATTTGAGCTGGACACCATATTTAAAATATCTTGGTAAATTTGGGCTTCCACAGAAAAAGGAATAAATCCACAGGTCCACGTATCACTTAGTAGCAGCACTAAGCTTGCATTGAAAAGTGAAGTAGTCCACTCAAAAAATAATATTGAAGGCCTGGAAATGACAACTCTCCTCAGCCAATTAGGTAAAATGTAGTCCACTGTCTAGGACCAATGGGATCAGAGGTCACCCCAGGTAATCCTATGCTCTGGCACTCCAGCCTCCAGCCCATCTTCTGCCCACTGCCTGGCACAGTCACTGGGCCGGTGTGCCAAGGCCAGACTTGGGCTCAGGGCTTTCCCTGGCCTTAGAATGTGGGAGCAGGCCAGTGAGTCTGGCAGGAGAGGCCAGAGGTTATGGGTGGCCAGCCCTGTCAACACCAGGCACTGTCCTCCAGGAAGCTCTTAAGTTCAAGCTTGCAGTTAAGGTGTCTAGAATATCTAGTGTTGAAGATGATGCTGTCTGCTCCTGTGGAGATACTGGATGTTTGTAGACCTGGGATTTGTTGTGGCTGCAGCTGGTAGTTGCTGGCGGCTGATGCCTCTGGGAGGTGCTGGAGTTTTCTTGGAGGCTCCCATGGGAGGGGATCCAGGGTAAAGGGTGGTGTCCACACCAACTGTGCAGTAGGGTTACCCGGGAGCTTCTTACAAAGGTTGCTGGGCCCCACTCCAGGGTCTGGGGTAGGGTAGTGTTCTAGTAATAGAAAAAAAATCGGGAAAATCAAGTTCCCCAACTCAGTATAACAAAATATATTCTCACAGATGAAAGTTTTAAATGTAACATTAATTAGATCATGGAACTATTAAAAGGAAACATTTGAAGTCAAAAGGCAAGGGACAGATGGCAAAGCACAGCACAACTGGGAATGAATGGCTCATTTTCTTCATACTAAAAGGACTCCAGCCGGGTGCCAGTGACACATCTGTAATCTTAGCTACTCAGGAAGCAGATGTCAGGAGGAAGATCATGGTTCAAAGCTAGCTCAGGCAAATAGTTTGTGAAACTCTCATCTTGGAAATAACCAACACACGCTAGGGTGGTGAAGTGGCTCAAGTGGTAGAGTGTCTGCCTAGCAAGCATGGGGCCTTGAGTTCAAACCCCAGTGCTGCTGAAATAATAAAAACAGCGCCAATAAGTCCACAAAGGAGCAATCAAATGGAAAGTGGGTGTGACGTAAGCATGTTTCACAATAAAATACAACCTTTTGGAGCTGGCATGGTAACACCTGCTCCAATTCCAGCTACTTGGGGGACAAAAGGGATGAGGATTAAGGTTGGAGACTGGCCTGGGCAAAAAAAAAAAAAAGCACGAGACCCTCTCTGAATCATAAAAGCAAAAGGACTGGAGATACGGCTCAAGTGGTAGAGTGTGCTTTCACCTCGCAATTGCGAGGCCCTGAGTTCAGTTCCCAGTACTGCCAAACAATCTGAACGTGAACAGAAATGCCTTTCTCACCTGTCAGACTGGCAAAGATGAGTCCCTCCGCACACTGGTGGGTCAGCGGGCTTACATTACAGGTGCGATGTGAGAGGGACAGTGTTTTGGGGGCCATGCAGCGTTAACAATTCCCATCAGGGCTGGGGATGTGGCTGAAGTGGTAAGAGTGCTTGTCTAGCAAGTGTGAGGCCAACGGTTCAAATGCTAGGACTGCAAAAACAACACATTATCTTTGTACATTCTAAGAATTTCTCTGAAATACTCTTACAAGACAACTCATGGTGGCATTGTTTGTAAGAGGGTAAGTCAGAAATATGCAAGAGGGTTCTGATGAAATTATCACTGGAATGGGCTACACAGCTGTCAGGAGGAATGAGGCCAGCCTGTGGGTACTGATGGAAGTGTCTAAGCTAGGTTATGTGGAAGCAGTGAGGTATGGGACCTCAATAGGTTCCTAGTTAATGTAAAAATTAAAAACAGGCCAAAACAAAGCCCAACAGACTGTGTGTGTGTGTGTGTGTGCGTGTGTGTGTCTGTGTGTGTGTGTGAGAGAGAGAGAGAGAGAGAGAGAGAGAGAGAGAGAGAGAGAGAGAGAGAGAGGGAGAGGGAGCTGGAAGAATTTACAGAAACTGATAACTGGTTTGCCTCTAGACAGAAGGTTGAGGCCACTCCAGGGCCTCCATGGGCCACCTGGTGGAGCCACCCTCCTGCCCACTCAGCCTGAGCTCCACTCAGCCCAGCTCACTATGCCTCCATCACAGAAACCTCTTTGTCCAGGCTAGAACACCTCTGCTCACCCTTCCTCTCCATCCTATAGCCAGCAGTGAGGGTGGATGAAATTCTCCTCCTCCTAACAACAAGTTCTCGGGTATTTGCACTCAGTATGCTAAGTTCCAGGCGCCACAAATCCTCCCTTGTAGCAACCTGCCATGTAAGCACTGGCTCACCTCCCATCTGAGGAGGAGGTGGCCATGGTAATGCCCAGTGTGTGTGCATGGTGGAGGGGGTGGGGGTAGACCAGGGGTGTCTACCTCCAGGGTCAGTTCACAGCAGGTGTGAGGCTCCAGGGCCACAGGTGCTCTGGGAAGCTCCTGCTGATACCTCTTGGACAAGGACTGGGAATAGGAGGGAGAAAGAGGAATGAATGACCTTCTAGTCATGGCGTGGTTCTTCAGTAAGTGGCGGGTGGAGCAGGGGTCTGTTCGTTCCCAGGTCCTTACCTTGGAAGAGTCACTTGGCCTCTCTGGACTTCACCCATCTATAACAGAAGAGGCTGGTTTATCTGAAACTCACATTTACTGGGCACCTTGTGTTTTACCTGGCAACCCTATAAGACAGGGCCTCCGAGTCATAGGCACCACAGCACCTTCCATGTGCTGTGCGGCCATCTCAAGCAGATGCTGCTGTGGATCTCAGTATCCTCCTGTGTCAAACGGAATGGGAGACAGAGAGCTTCTTCCCAGAACAGACCCAGCATCTCGGCCCTACTAGGATCAGCACCCAGCCATGGCCACTGGGGGGCAGCAGCACGGCATGGTTAAGGTGCACTCAGGCAGCTCCCTCCCCCCATTCCCCAACCACAACAGGAGGCCTCTCATGGGCCAAGAGCTACAGACTCAGCCCCAGCAGGCCCCCCAGGCATTGAGGAGGGGGCTCCAGGCAGGCTTGTTCCACACCCCTTTCTCAGCTCCTGTAGTCCTGTAGACAGCCCTGCCCCATGCTGCAGAACCTCCAGGTGTTGGCCAGAGGATTCTCTTCAGCCTTAGATCCACTGTCCCTCTGCCTGTCCCTGCAATGGGTAATGCCTTTAGCCGCAGCCTCCTGAGGTGGCTTCAATCCTCCCCCCGAACCTGCACAGCACCTGATGCCTGCCTGCCTCTTCCTCACCACCCTAGAGGCACTATTCATGGTCTGCCTCACAGATCCAACCTCCCAAGAGCTACCCAAGGTTGCCGTTGTATGGTCTCCAGTCCACGCTCCTCCCACTTCATCTGGTGTGCCTGACCTGCACCTGTGGCCCCATACACAGAGCAGGGTTCAATGGAGCCAACGCCAGTGCCTAATTGCAAGTCCTCAGCCCTGAGTCTGAGATCAGGCCCTGCCCCTGGGGGTCCTCACACCCTGCCTCCAGCTCTGCAGCTGGCCAGTGTACAAGATCACAGCACCCCAGCTTTCAATGACGCAGGGCTCACGGGTGAGGACAGAGGCCTTGCCCAGTTAGAGTTATGTGTCTCATTCACAGCCAATGTGGTAGTAGCACCCAGATCTCCCAGGCTCTGTCGCAGGCCATAACAGAGTCGGGGAGGTCAGTGCACATGAAGGGTGGCTAAGCCCCATCCTTCTAGCAGCTTCTAGGGCCACATTCAGATCTGTGTTTCCTGGGCAGGACCACAGAAGGCTTGGGGAGTCTTGAGGCAGGCAGCGCCATCTTCCTGAGGATCTGCTGAATCCACGCACACACAGCCTTGCTAAGGCATGGAGTTTTTTATGTCTATCACAGAACAAGGGCACACATGCAGCTCCCCAGGAACTACCCAACTCTAAGTGCCTGCACAGGATGGCAGAGGTTCTGGGATCCCAGGGGCAAGAAGGCAGGGGCATGAGGAAGAGCAGGAACATCACAAATCCCCAGGGAAGGGCTGGAGGGGCACCCTCTAACATCCCCCTCCCTACTGCAAGAGCCTGCTCCTAGACAGCAGAAGAGCCCGTCACAGAACCACTGCTATGCAGGAAGAGGTTGGGTCCATTCTGGGTTTTTGACCCCTTTGGCCCTCTTGGCACATGGCTACCGTCTCTGGGGCTACTTCCCCTCTCTCAGGCAGCAGTGGACTCCGAGGGTCCATGATGACTTCAGTGATCTATGGCAGCAAGGCCCACTGGGATCCCCAGATTTTACAGAAGGCAGTTGTGACAATTTTATCTGTCAACCTGACTGGGTCACAAGGTGTCCACATATTTGGTCACATTTTTGTTCTAGGTGGGTCTGACAGGGCATTTCTGGATGAGATGACCACGGGAGTGGGGAACCTGAGGAAAGTTGACTGCCTTTCCAAGTCGGCCTCACTCAATCCACTGAAGGCTCCATAGACAGAAGGCTGAGCAACAGACAACAGTCTCTGCCCAACAGTCGGTCTTGAGCTCGGACACTGATCTCCTGCCTTCAGACTTGGGCTGCAACAACACCGGCAACTCTCCTGGGTCTCTGGCTTGCTGACTGCAGATCTTGGGATCTTTCAGCCTCCATAATCACACTCATGACACCCCATTTCTTAGGATCCATCCATCCATTCCATCCATCCACCATTTATCAATCTGTCCATCTCTCCATCCATCCATCCACATCTCCCACTGCCTCTGTTCCTCTGAGGAACCTGATTCATACAGTGCTCTTTCCATTTCCATCTGCCAGATTAGACTCTGTTCCCTATGGTAACTGAGCCCACCCCACAACCAGCATGACTGATTTAGCCTTTGTCAGTCCCAGGTATGTTTTTGCAAACTCCAGCCACTCACTGTCTTGCCTCTTTGTAGCAAAGTGAACCTGCCCCCAGGTGTCCTGGCCTCGCCTTCTGCAGCCCATAAAGTTCAGCAGCTGTGGTCTGTGAGGCGTTTTACAGAGAAACAGCCCCTGCATCCCCACTGACGCAGAAGGGACTTGGCAGATAGACTCACCCTTTCTATTAAAAGAGGCAGGGAGTCTCAAGAGGTGTTAAAATGACTAAAATCAACAAGCCAGCTGCCATCACCAGAGTCCTGCTGAGAGGAAGCTCTGAGTGTGTGCTCTGCAAATGTGACCTTGTACTGTCCTGCTCTCTTCAGCTCTGGACAGGGGAGGCTACTGAGCCAGTGTCAGATACTGCAGTGCCTGTCTTTACACCAATACATCAGTTCTGTTTCTCCCCGGGCAACCCACCTTTTGGGGGAGGTGGGTACCTCCTCGACAAGTCTCAGTCATCTTATGCCCTCTGTCAGAACACGGGCCTGGGTGTAGACTGACAATGTTTCAGCCAATGAGACATGAGGCTGGCAGGGAGGGTTCTGGAAGAACAGCAGTTTCTCTTTCCTCTCTTTATGCTCCAGACTATGCCAGCCATGAGGTTCCCAGAAATGATTTTGAGGATAAAAGCTGACTCTGTGAGGCTGGGGTGGAGGGGGCAAAGGGGAAGGAACTGGGGGTGCTCCAGGACACCGAATCAGCCAAGCCCATGATATTCAGCCTTTGGTCTTCCGGGCACGTGAGACAAATGTCCCCATAGCTGAAGCAACTTCAGTGGTGCTTCTATTGCTGGGACCAGGTGAATGGGAGAGGAGGCAAGATGGGAAGGCAAGTTTGCCACCTCACGGTTGTGCTGATGCCCCAGGCCACTCTCCTGTTCCTGGCATGTGGCTTTCCTACTACCATGAAAGGATGAGGGAGGGAGGAGAAAGCATGACTGTCAGATCTTCTAAGGATAGTCATCTTTTGTTTCCATGAACATTTTTTGTCATCAGGCAGATATTAACAAGATCTGAGGACACAGTGATAGCTAGAGGGTATGGGGAGGGGGCACATTTACCAATTGTACCCCAGAGATCTGCCTCTGCCGGACAGCACTGATAAGCCACAGCCGCAATGGGACTCCCACAGCAGACAGGAAACTCAGAGAACTCCATTTAGTTGATCATTTTAATACTGGAAGTGCCGACCAATCAACAGGGTGGACAGAACACACACAAACGCCTGCGTTCACAGCGCAGAGGGCGGGGCCCCTCAGCCCTGGGCATGCATGCATCTCCTTTAGGACTGGGCAGATCGCGAATGTATAAATACCACAAAACAACCAGGCTCGGAGGGAGCACAGGCTACAAGGGGGACCATGCTGCAGAGGCAATCAGAGGCATTAAATACGGGACCTACATGTTACATTTCACTTCACCATATACACAATTTATATATTAAAAGGAGACCACAGTATATATACTCACAAGCGGCTTTGGTCAGAGAAAATGGAGGGAGGTGGAGCCATGCACAGGAAGGGCTTGCCTGTCTACTCTCCATCCATCTTTGTCCCCATCTAGCTCACAAAGTCACCTGGGATCACAAGATAAATGAGCTAGCCTCAGCAAAATCATGGGAAGTCCTGCCTAGCATTGGCCTCTGGGCTCTCCGTGGGCAGGGAGGTTCCCTGGAGCAGAGAACACTTGAACCAGTTTATGGAATCACATCCCTGGGAGTTGTCCTGGAAGGGACCAGACCAGGTGGGAGGGGTGGGATGTTGCACTGGTCAGGTGGAGGAGGGAGGCACAGCCGGCCAGGCTGGGCAGCTGTGATGTGCTGCCTGGGCTCGGTCCCGGGAGAGCAGGAATGACTGCAGAGGCATCCACTTTTGCAAGCAAAGCTGAAACAGCATGACAGCCTGTTTCTCAGCAATGTCCCAAGGTTGGTTCCCTCAGAACTGACTGGCGCTGCTGGGGTCACACTGCAGCAAGCGCACGATGGAGGGGTCGCTCTTGGCACCTTTGATGAATTCTTCCAGGGACAGCTTGCCTGTAGGATGGGGACAGGAGAGAGCCATTAGTGATTCCTCTTTGTTCTCTGCACTTCCAGTGAGGATGGGAGCAATGCTTAGGTTAGAGACACCCCTTTGGTTGAAGTTCTGAGCCTTCTGGAAAACGAACAAAGGTCCAGTCTCCACTCACTTCTAGGGCATTTTTGTAAAAAAAAAAAAAAAAAGCCCTTGTGCTTTCACTGCTCCTAGCAAAGCAACTCCAAGTTCATACCTAAGAGGGCAGCAGGTCCTGGGGGGCTCATAGCGACTTAAATCCTTGCTTCACCAGACAGAAATGTGACATTTGCCCCTGACCATAAATAATTCAGGGCTATGAGGCCAGGCTGGCTGGGTGGTCCTGAGGCAGCTGCACCAACCACAGGCTGCAGCATCTGTCTGCTGCTTGGACCTGGGGAAGCACTTTCTGCCTCTGTAACGTTTGCCTGTGTCGCCCTCCTTCACCAGGGGCCAGGTTACCCTTATGATCCAGAGACAGAAACAAGGTTTCTAAAACAGAAGTGCTATAGAAATAAGTTGCAGAGAGCAATGCTGGTGACATGTAACCCCTCCTGGGAGGCAGACGAGGGTGATTTTTGTTGAACTGAGAGGCTTTTGAAGGTAAGCGGGGGGTGGGGCTGGGCAGCCATTCTAACACCCCCAGCCGCTGAGGGTTGCAGAAAGCTGAGCTGTGGTGGGGAGATATTCTGATTGTGTGCTTCTCCTCTCACAGTCATTCTTTTTTTTGTGGGGGAGGGGTTCTTTGAGACAGGGTCTAGTTATGTAGCCTAGGCTGGCCTCACACTCAAGAGTCTCCTGCTTCTATCTCCCAAATGCTGAGATTACAGCCATGTGCCACCATGCCCGGCTCTCCCACAATCACTCTTAATGAGCCCACTGTGGTCATCAGTGTACCTTTTCTGCTACTCAGCAAGCCAGACACATGTTTACAGTTCTGCCCATTTGGATGTGGCCACCAGGAGAAGGACTGGGGCTCTGGAGGTGGCTTTATAGTTAACTTCCAAGGCAGAAGGAGGGCCCAGGTTTGTGGTGGCCTGTTGTCTGTGGCAGGGCCGCTGAGGAGGTACTGTAGGTCTCTGTGTTTGCTGTGTGAAGAGCACTGATTGCATTCTGTTGGGCAGTGGCCCAAGTAACGAAGACGTATGTAGCAAAGGCTGAGCGCAGGGTGGAAGCCATGTACCATGCATGGCCAGCCCCGACCACTGTGCGTTTCAGGGTCTCCTCTCTAATTTATAATAATGGCAGCTCTCAAAGGGTGACTGGGAAGAAGCATTTGAGAGGCTGCACTGCACTGGAGGACTCACTGGCCACTGCTACGAAGCCAGTTATGGGGATATTCCTCCCACCCACTGCTGGACAGGGATGTGCTGGCCTTGTGGATCTTCAGCAGGGGTAAGGAAGGGCAAAATGGCTTCTCTCAGATGAACTTGACGTCTCTAGGGGCCAGGGAAGGGAAGGCTGACCATGCCCTCAGCAGAGGTCTCCTGAACCCTGGGCCAATGCAGAGAGCAGAGGCCAGCCTGTTGTTCTCCTTACTGTCAGTGAGACTTTTACCAACCACTCTTCTGCTGCTACCCCTCAGGTGGGAGGCACCAAGTGCATCTCCTCACAGTGTGGAAAATCTCGGGGTCCTGCACCCCAGGCTTTCCTAGCCCAAAGTCAGGGAGGGCTGGGCCAGTGCAGGTCGGCCTCTGGATGGGAGGCTTTGAGGGCTATAGATGCTCCAGCCCTCCTCCTGGCTGGGAGCAAGGTGGCAGGGCGTGGGGGTCCCCAAGTTCTGTTTGTCCCACATGCATATACAGGACAAGTTAACAGGGGACAGTGACAGACCTGTGCCTGGGGAAGATATCAGATTACCCGAGTGGCCTGGACAGCTATGGTCTCCTTGGGGCTGGGGAGGGAACTGTGGGGGGCTGCCTGTTCCCGAGCAGATCCTGAAGAAGCCCCTGCCCACCTCTGCCGTTCCTCTATCCTGAGTCCCGGCCACACTCAGCTTCTCTGAAGCACCCCCTTTCTTTGCCCCCCAGGCTCCTTGACTGATGGGTCACTAGGCTCACAGGAGGTGGCACTCTGCTTAATGGGCACCTTAGCAAGTGATGGACACCACCCACGTTCACCAGCAAAGCCAGGTACACAGTGTGGGCTCAGCTAGTCCTCTGAAGTGGTGTGTCGGGTGAGCAGGGTGGGGCAGCCAGCCAGGGGACACGCACAAACCACGAGGTCAGGAACAACAGCTGTAACTGTGGGGTACTCAGCCCTGTGCTAAGAGCTCTGTAGGCATCGTGCCACTGAAGCCTCTCAACCACGTGAGAGTAGACTCATCAGCCCTGTTTTACAGAGGAGCAAACTGAGGCTGGGGAAGCCAAGACTAAGTTTGGTATACTGAAACCCAAAGCCTGTGCCTCTCGCTATGCGGGAGAATGGAAAACACATTTAAAATCAGCCAAAGGCAATGTGAGGCCGTCTTGTTTTATGTGTGAGCGTGGCTTGAAAATTGTTCCCTTGCTGTCTGGAATGCTTTTGGCTGTCTCCAGTTCCAGGAATACCTCGTCTCCCTGCTGGGCTCCGTCCTTAATTCACCTGCACAGTGCACTTAAGACTCCACAAGGCATTTTCTTATGCATTAGCGTAGTTTTAATCTCAACACAACCCAGGGAGCACTTTCTTTTCTTAATGCTGCATTTCTTTGTGGGTCAAAAGCAAATCTGTCCTGGCTCTTTAGCTATGCCAACAAGCGGAATCAACGTGTCCCATACTGCCTTGCCCCAATGAGGTCCTACTAGAACCTCACAGCTGGTGCAGAGGAGAAAATGGGGCGCATCCTTGTGACTGTTGGCCCCTCCATCCCCACTGAGACCCGCCTTTCTGCAGCAGTGGCTGGACCCCAGAGCCTCAGACATAGTAGCTGTAAGCAGACAAGAACATGTGCTGTACACATCCTGACAGCTGCCCCTGGACCCCTGGGACATCTGGGGCACCTTGCACCTTAAGGTGATGGCCAGAGAGGCCTAGCCAGCTTCCCAGATTCCTATGACCTGGGACCCTTTGCTCTAACCCTTTCAGCCCAGGGACCATTAGCACGCCTGTCTTCCCTCCCCCAAACACCCCATGGGAATATTAGTATCCCTGATACTGGAGCTATGGCTCCAGGGGCCACCAGCAGGCCTACAGCGATAAGCTGGCCATAATGCCATGGGCAGGGAGCAGGATGCAGGATGGTGACCGTGACTCTGAATTCTGGTCTTCCCTCAGCACAGCCACACCAGGTGGGCAGGAGGACTGTTGATGACTGAGGGGCTGCAGAGAGAGAGGGAGAGTCCCAACACATCTGTGTGCTACCCACAGTGTCACACACACAAACAGTAACCCCTCATCCCCCTACCATCGTTGTTCGTGTCCATCTGCCTGAAGATCTTGTCTGTCCGTTTCTCTGGAGTAGACTCGTCCTCTGGCATTTTCATCACTGAGGACACCATTTTGTAGATGGCCTGGAAATCAGTGCATAAAAGAGTACTCAGGAGATATTCCTGGATGGATGGGACAAGGATTTCACCTTCTACCCAGACCTTGGCAAGGCACAAATAGATGGGAGCACCACCTAGAGGCCTATAACCCTTCCTTTACCAGAAGAGTGAATCTCATAGATGGGATTTTGAGTAAAGAAAGACAGACATGCTGAAGTGAAGTTTATGAGCACACAAAAGCAACTCCGTTGTGACAGTGGAAGGCTGGAGGTAGGGGTGGGATAGTTCCAGGATGGTGTTTAAGGAACCTTCTAGTGAGCCGGGAATGCCAAGGCTGATGGCCTCATAGGCATTCAAGGTCAGCCCACGATTTCTGCAGGTTCTGAATCTGGAGACTCAACCAACCGCAGATAGCAAATATTCAGGGAAAATAAGTTGCATCCGTACAGAACACTTACAGCCTTTTTGCCTTGTTATTATTTCCTAAAGAATACAGTGTAACAACTATTTCCCTAGCATTTACATTGTATTAGGTTTCCTCAGTCATGTATACATGATTTAAAGCATGGGAGGAAATGCGTAGGTTGCATGCAAGAATTACACCATTTCATCAATTACCATGCCATTCTGGTATCTGCAGGCGGCCCTGGAACTTGCCACCCACAGACACCAATTCTTAGCTTGGTTAATTCTTAGGAAATCATCTCTCTGAGCCTCAGCTCATGAAATGCAGACAAGTGGCCATTTCATGGGGTTGTGAAGATGGAAATTGACCAATGTGCTCAGCGAGGGCCTGATGTATGGCAAGTAATCAATAAATGCTGGCATTTATCATTGCTCTTTGCAAGGACAGGTGACAGCTGATCACTTTCAATAGGGCACCAGGTAGCAACCTGACCCAAATGACCACATGTTATGGTGAATATAGGATAAAGAGCACATGAGAGGGTGTGAGGGGTCGGCCTGCTTTGGTGGGCCCAATGTTCCCGGTCGCCCTGGCCCCGTACACCCCAAACCACCCTCCATAGGGCCAAAACCTGCACGATCTCCAGCATCTCGCTGCGGCTGATGTAGCCATTGCCGTCCAGGTCGTACATGCTAAAGGCCCATTTGAGCTTCTGTTCCAGCTTGCCCCTTGAGGTCACGCTCAGGGCAATGATGAACTCCCGGAAGTCGATGGTGCCATCACTGTTGGTGTCAAAGGTGCGGAAGACGTGCTCAGCGAACTTGGAGGCATCACCATAAGGGAAGAAGTTGGCGTAGATCTTCTTGAATTCATCCACAGTCAGGTGGCCGGTGGGGCAGTCCTTCAGGAAGCCCTTGTACCACTCCTGCAGCTCGTGGTCAGTGAATTCTGTGTTCTCCCGAAGGTCCTGCAGCACCTCGGGCCGAAGCTTGCTGTTCTGTTTGCCCATGGTGGTCGATGGCAGTGACTACACCTGAGAGAAATGGGGTCAGCTGTGGACATTTGGGCACCCAGGGTCTAGCTCCTACCACCTGCCATCGCCAAGCTAGCTGAGCAATGTCCCTTGTGTGTCCTCGGCCACAGGCTGGAGGGGTCCAAACAAGACCAGCATTGGCACGCATGGAGTTTCATCCCATCTCAGATCTGTCTGTGGGAAGGTCCTCCATTATTCTATGCATCATAAAGAAAGCTAGGATAATCCAATTAAATCAAAGCAGCCACTCTCACATGGCAAGACACAGATTAACTTCAAGCATGTAGACATGAAGACTAAAAGACAACCTGAAATCAGGATTGGAGTGAGGCACTGCCAAATGTCCACTAGGATTCTAACAGACGCAGGAATTCAAAAAAGCCCTCATCCTCATCATCTCAGGGCAAACTGGTCACATTGACCCAACCCAGACCCTTTGTTCCAAGTAATTCTTTTCTCTTTTGGACACCACGATGTTTTAATCTTTAGAAGATATGTCCGGATCGGACCAAGCGTGGTGAGGCACATCTGTATTTGCAGCTACTTGGGAGGCAGTGGTAGGAGGATCTCTGTTTAAGGCCAGTAAGGCAAAAGTGCAAGACCTTATCTAGAAAATAAACTAAAAGGACTAGGGTGTGGCTCAAGTGGTAGAGCGTGAGTGTGAGGTCGAGTTCAAACCTCAATACTGCCCTCCCCTCAAAAAAGAATGGAAAGAAAAAGAAAAGGTGTCCAGAAACTTTTCTAGATTCCCCCTCCCCCGCCCCGGACACACACACACACACACACACACACACACACACACACACACACACCCCTTTTTATTTTGCCTTTGAAATATTGCTCTGGCAGGGGAAGATTTAGACTTAAGTTAAGCAGCAAATGTTGTCCTAAATGTTAACAGAAAGAATGAGGACTGGGTTGCATTTGAAAGCATACACCTCCCTGGGCAGTTTTTCATGAGGCCATGTGTTGCCATGGGACATTTGTACAGCTCTCACTTCACTACCTCATTTTATTTTCTGTCTTTAGCAGTAGCACACATACATGGTTTAATCATTTCGAAATTGAAGCAAACAGAAGAATGGGGGGGGGGGAGCAGATGTCTCCTACCCAAGACCCAGAGGAAACCACTTTGAACTGCTACATTTATGAGTTCTCAATAAGCACGCACTGGATCCCTGTTAGGAAAGGTAAGAAATGCACCTCACCCGTGTTGCTCCTTCCTCTCTTCTCTGCCTCCTTTCCAGGTTTGATTACCTTTGTGTATACATGTTTTTGTTTTTAATTTATCTGTATGACTTTAACTGATATTACATACTGGAAATTCCCTTTGTAATCTTTAGATAGGTAGACAGGGCAATTTGACATTATCTTTCAAAACTACACACACACACATTTGCTTTGACCCTCTCACTTTGAGAAACAGCTACAGATAATCCCACCTGTGCAAATAACATGTACACAGGCTCCAGCCAACATTACTGTTCCTAGCAACAAACAACCTGGATGCCCTGCTATGTCCTGGTAAGAAATAATAAGATGTATCTTCAAGAATCAAGCCTATAATCCTAGTTACTCAGAAGGCAGAGATCAGGAGGATTGAAGTTTGAGATCAGATCGGGCAAAAAGTTTAAAAGATTCCATCCTAATAAAAGCTAGGTGTGGTGGCATGCCATGTGTCGTTCCAGCTACATAGGAAGCATAAATAGAAGGGTCATAATCCAAGCTGCCCAGCACAAATTCAAGACTCTATTCAAAAGATATCTATAACAAAAAGGGCTGGTGGAGTGGCTCAAGTGGTAGAGCACCTGCCTGGCAAGCACAAAACCCTGAATTCAGAACCCTAGTACCACCAAAAACAAACAAATAAAAAAAAACATATCTTCAAAGAGTTGTACACAACAGCACACAGAGCTTGCTACCATTTGTGAAAACAGAAAAAAAAAATACATGTACACCTGTGTTAGAGTTTCTGAAAGGACTTACTAGAAATGGTAACACTGGCCAGAAGATGAAAGGTAACTGGATGGACAGAGGCCTCCTGGTGTTTTTTCCTGTATGCCCTTTTGCAAAGTTAAGATTTTGAACCATGTCCATATTTTCTAGTCAAAGAATAAATACCCAAAACTTACAATCACCAGGCCTCTATTTCTTGACTGGGCACCAGGACACAGACCTCTCGATTCTCTCCCTGGGAGGACAAACTGTTGGTTCCTTTCTCCTTTCTCCACATCTGGCTTCCATCCTTGGAGCGTCTCTTTCATATCAAGATTTGCAACCCTGTCCTTCTGCTTTACCCACAGGTTGATCCAAACATGTGGAAGCCAGCCGAGCTGTACATGACCTGGTTCTCAGTTTCCTGCTAGGGCATTCTGCACTGTGGGAAGGGTCCTGACCAGCCATAGCCAGCTCCAAACATGCAGCCTGTGAGGTCAACCTCTCCAGCTGCAGTGAGTTTGTCTGCCATTAGAACAAATGTGGCCCCTAGTCCATGGAGGAGCTGAGGGTCACATTAGACCTAAAACAGATGTACAGATGGGGGCCCTTCCCCACCGTCTCTGCCACCCATGCTCTGAACAACCTTAGGGCTTGCGTGCCTGCCGTGGTGCTCTGGGATGCTAGAAAATGTTCTGGTTTTATCATAGATAATTCACTTCAGAAATTCAGATACAAAATAGTGGAAGCCACACTTGAAACTTGATGAGTGAGGGGATGGCTCACAGGTAGGGGTGCACCTGAGGGTGGTGGCTGGTCCAAAGACCTCCCAAACTGATCAAGCAAGACAGGTTGTCATAAAAGTGTTGTCCAGGGTGCTCCAGGAATGACAGTGAAGAGCAGGTGGCTGTCCATGAAGGGAAGGGCAATGGGGGGATGGTGGTTCTGGAGGATGGTAGGGAGGGAGGCTGAGCTGAGTGTGGCAGGTGACAACCAGGATGACACTGTTGGTAGAGGGCCTACAGCTGGGAGACAAGATTGTGTGAACCAAGGCCCCACTGGGGCTTCTGTGGGGTGAGGGTGGATGTGGCAGGGGTGGGGAGCAAGGGGGCTGCTACTCAAATAAAGGTACAGGGGAGGAGGGAAGGTTCTGTTTCTGGCACTGGTACCACTTGGCTCTGAGGCCTTCATTCCTGGCAATCAGAGGTATCCCTCAACTCTGGGGCCCACCTTCAGGGAGCCATGGAGCTGATGTCAAGGGGACTTGGGGCTAGGTCTGCCTGGCTGTGGGTGGCCAGAGGGGAGGCTGGGGTGTGTGTGTGTGTGTGTGTGTGTGTGTGTGTGTGTGTGTGTGTGTGTGTGTGTGTGTGTGTGTAATGTGGTACTACTGCATCACCATTGCGGGCCGATTGTCTCTTCTTTCCTGATGAGCTTTCCTGCACTTTGCATCATCAGAATAGCCCCTTCTGGTGTGTTCCAGGCTGAGAGCTGAGGACGGTGAGGTCAGGATGCACTTACATCACCAGGCACACACTGCCAGTTTGCCTCAGTGTTCCTCCAGATGCCAGACTCAGAGTGGCTGCTCTGCAAGCGTTTGCAGAGGAAGCTCCAGGTTGTGAAGCTGGCCACACCGTAAGCAAACCACAGAAGACAGTGGGTGGAGCACCTCTGGGAGAGGCTGACAGCTTTCCCAGCTCCATCTCACGTGTCCCAAACACAGACACTTGTGAGCACAGGACCCTGCCTTCACACTTTACCTGTTCTCTGGTGTTCAGCCAGGCCTAGCAGACTGGGTGTTTTGTGTTGGTTTAGGGCCTCCTTGTTATATGCCGGGGCTGTGAAGATCCAGTCTCTCAAGCACAAGGTAAAACTTCTTTGACTACGAGCCGCCTGCAAGGCAGCCTGTAGGGGACTCTTCGCAAGAGTAGAAAGCCTCTTGGCCCATGGAGGTAACCCCAAATGTGTGCTTCCCAGTACTTGATGGGCCAGAGCGTTCTCCTGACTCTCCTCATCTGACACTGAATCAGAATCATCTCCGGACTGAACTTTACTTTTAAGGTGGGGCTGGCGGCTCAGCGTCTCCACCGCCCGCAACATCTTGTCACTGCCTCTCACACTCCTGTGTGACTGTCGTAAGGGTGAGTCCCACATCCCGGCTCGGCTACCAAGGACGAGAATCTTTTATTTCTTACTTTTATTTCCTTACTTTATTATAACCTCTCCCTATTATCCTATATTTCTTCTTCTACTGTATTCTACTGTATAATTCTTCTTCTATATTTTTCCCTTTTACCTAACTTCTTTAACATAGCTTTTTTAAAGCCTATATTTAGAATTTCCCATGTTTTACATCTGACTGTATTCAATTCACTCTCCCTCTCACTTTTCTTATTTTTCTATTCCTTGCTTATTTTTCATTTCTCCATTACGTGTGCGCTTCCCAGAGAGTGTCTCCTCGTCTCAGGCTTTGAGTTTCCCTGAAGTTAGGTCCCCATTTGGGCACCACCTGGAGCGAGCTTTTTCACACTCCTGTTTCTCTTGACCTAAGTGGGGGCAATGGGAGATGCAGAAAACAAGCACAAAGCTGGGCCAGGTGTGCTGGGTGCTCGGAGGGAGATGCACAGCAGCCTTGTTGCTTTTTTACTCTAATAAATCTTCTTTTACTTTGCTTGTTTTTTCTATCTTTAAAACCTTACTTTTAAAGTCTCTTTCCTTAGACACACTCTGTCCCATGTTTTCTTTTAGCTTTTCTTTAGCATAATCTCTCTTAAAGTCTTGGTGCTCAGACTTGCAGACACACAACAGCAGCCAGGTCTAAAAACTGCATTAGTATAACTCTTAAAGTCCTGGTCCTTAAGACTTGCACCGTCCCATGTTCTTTTTGGCTTTTCTTTAGCTTAGCTTTTCTAAAGTCTATGTATAAAGTTCTTGGTGCAGAAAGCTGCTTTGGTGGAGACACACAACAGCCAGTGGCAGCGGCAGCCAATCAAAATCCCCCATCAAAAACCTTCCCTCAATCCCCCATCAAAAAACCCTCGCATGCTCCCTCAGCAGGTCTTTTATAT